TTCCTTCCTTCCTTCCTTCCTTCCTTCCTTCCTTCCTTCCTTCCTCCCTTCCTATTTTGTGCTTGTCCTAGGGCTTGAACTCAGCCTGGGTGCTGTCCCTGAGCTTTTTTTGAGCAAGATTAGTGCTGTACCACTTAAGCCACAGCTGTACTTACAGCTTTTTGGTGGATAATTGGAGAGGAGAGTCTCACATGGACTTTCCTGCCTAAACTGACTTTGAACCACAATCCTCAGATTGCCTCCTGAATAGCTAGGATTACAGGTATAAGCCATGGATGTCTGATTCTTGCTTTTGTTTTAATCATTAAAACATTCATTCTTAGCTGGGTGCCGGATTGCTCATGCCTGTAATACTCAGGAGGCTGAGATCTCAGGATCATGGTTCAAAGCTAGCCCAGGCAGGAAAGTCCATGAGACTCATTTCCAATTAACCACCAGAAAACCAGAAGTGGTGCTGTGGCTCAAGTGGTAAAGTGCTCACCTTGAGCTGAAGAGCTCAGGGACAGTGCCCCAGGCTCAGAGTTCAATCTCTCTGACAAAAAAATTCATTTAAAAATTATATATAAATATAATATGTGCTTATGATTTAAAAAGGGGCAGGAAGTTATATAAAAAGTAAAAGTAATTCTTTCCAACTTAAAAAAACCTACTTCCTATATAGTTTTTGGTCTCATATATTCTTCCAGAAATTTTCTTCACATTTACAAGTATATTTTTCTCTTAAAAGTCTTTCTCACAAATGAGATGACATTTTATATATATGGTCCTTCAAATTACTTGCTTCTTTTTTCTTTCTCCCCCATTCTTTTCTTTCATTTCTTAAAATATATTCTAGAGGAATGTTCTGAGAAGTAGATAATAGGTCTACTTTCTTCTTTCCCTTTTTAAAAATAGTTGTACAGTATCCCATTGTGTGGATTTTCCACACAATGGAATATTTAGCCAGTCTCCTACTGCTTAACATTTCAGTGGCTTTCAGTGTTTTGCTATTTCAAATAATATTATAGTGAACAGCCTTGGAGATATATACATTTTATGTTTCATGCAAATACATTTATGTCCTGGATCACATATTTTAAAATGATGACTGTGAACAAATTACCTTTGAAAAGAACTAATTAGTTTTGATGGGTTTGTTTTTCTCAGGTGAATTTAGCTGCTGCCTTACTGGTGCATGGTACATATAATGGGTTAAACTTTGGTGGATGACATGAGTTCAATGGTAAATGGTAATACCCCCTGGGTCTCTGTGTTAGGGAGATTAGATTGGTTTATAGATGTGAACATCATCAGTTTTATTCATGTGTGAAATTGAGAATGCTGGCCAAGCACTGCCAGATCTTGTTCTGTTTTTAAAAAAATTATTTGTTATTTATTTATTTTGTCGGTTGTGGGGCTTGAACTCTGGGCCTGGGTGCTGTCTCTCAGCTCTTCAGCTCAAGTCGAGCACTCTACCACTTGAGCTACAGCACCACTTCCGGTTTATTGGAGATAGGAGTCTCACAGTCTCTCCTGCCCGGGCTGGCTTTGAACTGCGATCCTCAGATCTCAGCCTCCTGAGTAGCTAGGATTACAGGCGTGAGCCACCAGCGCCCGGCTTGTTATTTATTTTTTTATACTGGTGCTGGAACTTGAACTTAGAACCTTACACTCTCACTTAGCTTTTTTTTGTTCAAGACTGGCACCCTACCACTTGAGCCATGCCTCCTTTTCCAGCTTTTTGCTGCTAACTGGAGATGAGCAACTCTCAGATTTGAACCACTGTCCTTAGACCACAGCTTTCTGAGTGGCTGGGATTACAAGCATGAACTACTGGTGCCTGCCAGATCTTGAGGTTGTTAAACAGAAGCTAGAAATGTGGGTGTTAATAGAAAACGTTTGATTTTAAATGTTGGCAACTAATTTACTAAAAAAAATCCCCAAAGCAAAACAGCAAATGGATCTGTATGTGCTAGAGACTGACAGTTTCTGCCTATTTGAAAGTAAAGGGTTATTCATTTTGTGAGATATTGCTCTATCTAGAAGTTCACAACTATATTGGATAGCTTATTTAATTTCTGCTTTTTAAGTATTTTTTCCCTTATTGTCCATAGACAATTATTGGTGAATACTGTTTAGAAATTATCCAGTCTCTTTTTTGTATCCCTTTCAGAAACCTTTCTCTC